ATTATAAGAGCTGTTAGTCAGGAGTCTTATCAGAAGATGGTCAAGCTGAAGAAAATTATCTCAATAGGAAAGAGGGTTATAGAGAAGAAGGTCTAGTCCAGGTAAATAAGCATTACCACCAAACATCACAGGCTCTTAGAGTCTTAAAATGTCAGATCACAGAAGGTAAACATGCCTGGGTGTGGTCAGTACCATGATGGTAGATCTTTAAGGAAAACCTGATGACTCCTGGAAGCGGTGTAACCGGTCTGCATAAGAACAGGCTGCAATTACACAGGGACTACCAGTAGAGGCCGCCAAAGGTACTCCAATTTGTGTGACACGACTCCAGCTGTTGACTTTTAGATTGTGGTGAAGGAGATGGAGAAATACACTTTCTCGCTGGCCTTTTCTTGTATGTTCCCATCCAGGGAGACCACGGTATTTGAGGGTAGGCTCTACGGATGGTGATGTTGGCAGCACTGTTCCCCTCTTTTTTAAACCACAGTTTCTAAAAGCCAATGCCCAATTACAGTGACCTGGGACACTGTGTTGTGGGAAGTTGAGATAAGACGTTATTCTGTTCTGGATTTGTCAGACAACCTGGCCTGCTTGATGTTCCCTCTTAATTAAATTGATTAAGCAATCTGCTTACTTATCTTCCAGTTCTGTTGAGTAGAGGGGCTGCTGATACTGTACATAAAGATTATCATGCATCATTTTAAGGATCACCCTAACTCACTCACAAGGTGCAAGGCACTAATCAGATTCTTTTTTTCATGGACCTCTTTCCCTGGTACCAGTTAGAACAATGTTATTTATATTATTATCCAGACTTTTAATTTTGCCGGATAACACAAATAAAAATGTCACATAACTACGTGCATTAAAACTACTTTGAAATATTGCGTGTAATACAGTACATAGAAGATTAAAAACGCATCCAGCTACCTGGGACTGCTGACTACAGTCCCCAGTCGTATGATATAAATAAATTAAAGCTCATTATTTATAATTAGATTAATGACGTAACTGAGACTTCATATGAGATGGGCAAAAACTAGAAAACCCTATACAAGTCACAGACTGGAGCCTGAGTCCCCATTGTTAATGTATGTGATCCATGTAGGAAATACACTTTTGTATTGTACTGAATGGAACTGCACACTGTGACTGCATGAGATGCTTTTTGAAAAAAAACACACACACACCACAGAAAGAACAAAGACACAGGCTCCACCTGGTCTGGAATGAATACCTCAATATACCTTTGAGATATCCCCCCCCAGAATTAATATTTCATATTTTCCCAGTCTGTTTTGAATAGGCTTGACACACTGAGAAGCATGGGTCTTGTGTTGCTTTTAATCAAGTCAGAGTCGTAGAAGTAAAGAATTCTAGCTGGTGGGATTAAGAGGAGTTGCTTATTGCTGACTGTTTTTCAGTAAAGAAATAAGATTTCAGTGACTGTTAATGCAGTACAACACAATGTTTAGGTTACAGTTTACTTTATACATGACTAAGTGAATGACTACATTGTTCTACTTCAATATTATATTGAATATATATATATATTTAGGAATATATTAGGTATATGGCTATTTAACATTCCAAATATTGGAATATTAATAACTACTGATGATCTTCATACTGCTAATAATAATTCAGAAAGAATAAAAGTATAGTGTACTATTTCTAAATTCAAAGGCCATTTCCTTTACTCAACACAGAACATAAGCAGTGATGTGATGGCTCCCTCTTAAGGACGTTTTACGCTGTTACCTAGCAGTTATTTTTATATAGATACTTTAATGATCCCGTTAGGAAAATTGCATGTTTATAAGAACACAGGAAGGGTTACTAACAAGAAGAGGTCATTCAGCCCAACTAGTCTGTTTGTTCATTTGTAGTTGATTGATTTGGGGATTTCAGATGCTGTTTCTTGAATGAATCCAGGGTATTGGCTTCACCAACTCAGCCAGATAGCTTGTTCCACTCTTCCACCACCCTTTGGGTAAATAAAACAGTCTTCTGTTCTCTGGTTCATGTTTTGCTCTTCATTCTGAAGACGTCCACTGGGCGAGACTTTGTAAAATCCCTTGAAGATTCTGAAAATTTGTATCACATTCCGTTTTAGTCTTCTGTGTTCAAAACTATAAACGTTCAGTTCTTTTATCATGTCAGTGTGGAACATTTTGCTCATGAAGGAGATGTGGAAAATAATATTTATTTCTAATTATACCCTTTTCAGGTCAGTTGCAATAGTAGCACCAACAATAGCATCATTTAAGTAATTCTTATCCTGATTATTGTAATCGGTCATGAGACAGAGTGACTGTCATAATAACGTGCTCTAGTGTACGGTACCATCTGAATATAAAAAGGGATATAGAGAGAACGTGATGCACTTCTTGGTTGAAATGAATCTAGTCCTATATGTGCAGAACTTCTTTTGGGGGTAGAAAAGGCTATACAGATAAAATTATATTTAAAATTAATACTTAAAAGTATCCTAATATTGTTTTCATTTAATTGAGAAATTAAAACCATAAAACATCTATTACTTTTTTTGTTTTATATCGTGATATATTATGTGAATATTAATGCGTTATTTTAGTGCAATATTTATTTTCTACTATCGATGTTTTGTGTATGCCTGTGCATCTGTGTGGTTATATGCAGATACATATATACATAAGGAATTATGACTTTAAAATATATGCAGTATATAGATTATGCGCAGTCATTTATTGATGTACTGCATCGTGAAAGCTAGAAGGCAAAATGGCTCAAAATGTTTGCATTTTTGTGAATTAATTCTGACCGCCCAAGGTCATGGGCGAAGATCAGACAGAAAGGGAAAAAGAGATAGTCTCGGGTTCGTTCATTCATAGTATTCATTCCAAGATGTGGCCTTTCTGTTAAAACTGCAACATCTACACCAAAAACGACAATACCCAGTTGGTTATATATACACATATTATGAATTGAGGACTACACTACAACCTATTCATGTCGCTTCAGAAAGTTTCTAAGGATAGTCGATACCAAACGATATCCAGAGTTTTTCTGGTGAGCAAAAAAACACTACGAGTACCACAATGCTTTGAGAGAAAGGGGCTGATTTCTGTCAACATCGTATTTCAAACTACTTTTGAAATGTAATGCATTGTACGAGGCCGACACACGCATACTGCTCTGTACAATGATTTGGTTTATTTTTAAAATTGTATTAGGAAAATGTTTAATCGACTCTAATTGCGGATGGGAGTTGTAGTTCTTGAGTTGTCACTTTGCGCTCCTCCTTTCCTCACCCAGTGGGTGTAAACCAGCCCGGGACTACAATTACCATCCTTCGCCGCGGAGTGACAGTAATTCAGATTATCGTCTTTATTTTTATTTTCAGATTTTAGGAAAGACGATATCGCGTATCTGCAGTGAATCTCAGTGCACCGAGGGCTAAAAATGCGAAAGAGTGGAGAAGTTGTTTTTTCCATTTCCTGTTTTGTTGTATTTCCTGGTATGGGGACGAGCCGCTCAGCTGTTTTTTAAGAGCAAACCTAGACGTTGAAATAAACCAGAGGGGGTTTGGGAAAAAAAGGGCTCTGGTTAATTAGGAATTCGTACATAAAATAAACCCCACAGAAGAGGCCGAAAAGGCTTTGAAGAAATCGTGAAAGACAAGATAAATATACCATACTGATGGCAGGGCTGGAAGGAGAGATTTTCGAATAGAAACAAGCATCCGAACTGGGGCAGGATTTTTTTTTTAAGCTACACAATCATTGCACCAGTTCGCTCGCATCCCTGGCTGGCGTGATGAAATGAGTCTCTACCCATGCCTTATTTACCAAGGCTCCGGGGAAGCAATGGAGAAGACGCTGTTTTAAGCTGAGAAGGGAAGAAAAGAAAAAAAAGATCGCTTAGCTGTGCTATTGCAATAATTGTATTTAACGCCTGAGCATCTTAGCGACATCGTCGGAAGGGGGTAGCTTTTTAATTTTCTTTATTTTTTTTTTATTTATTCGTCATGGATTCGGCCACTTGCTTCTGGGGCGCCTAACCAGTTTAACCTTGGGCTTTTCTTACGTGGAAGATAGGAAAGTGACAGCCGTATTGCAAGGGGCTGTTTTGCCAAAGCATAAGCAGACAGGATCCCTTTGGCACGTTTTCAGGTTCAGCTGAATAGCTGTCATAGCCGGGACACTCGCCGGATTTGGCACTTTTGGCGCTGCCAGTGTTATACCGCCTTCACACCGGAGCTCGAACCTGGCTGGGGCGGACCGGGACGTTTCCTTGGGATTGCTTTCTCTTTTCGCACATTGAACTTCTTTCCTCCTCCTCTTCCTCCTCCCCCCGTCCCGTCGTCCGACTGCCGGGGAAGATGAAGAAGTTTTTCGACTCTCGTCGGGAGCAGGTCGGCTCCGGCCCGGGTTCCGGCGCCGGCGGAGGCGGCGGGAGCGGGTCCGGCGGCGGCGGCAGTTACATTGGAAGGGTGTTCAGCGTCGGACGGCACCAGGTCACGGTGGAGGAGACGCTGGCGGAAGGTGAGAAACGGCCCGGGCACCCTCAATAGCTGCTGCTTTGTCAGTGTGGTTTATGTTCACACGCTAGCAAGTCACCGCTCACCGCTTTTCTGCAATGGGATGGTTAGCCCGTTTTCCACCTGAGGGCTGTTTGGTGAACTCTACCCTGTGGGCGCCACTGTGGACGTTGTCTGGGACTGGGCTCCGTCATACTGCAGTGCATGCTGTGTATGTGAGCCCTAAAATATAGATCAGGCTTTAAAACCACTAACGGGTCCATACATGCCACACAGGTGCAGAGCACTTTAGCACTTGCACCCCATCTATAATAATCTTAGATAAGATTTGATTGTAAAGCGTGGACTCAGCTCCCTCAGTCGAGAGACCACACAGACCAGATCCTTCCTGTTCTTGTTTGGCCAAGCATTTTTGCTCTTTATGTGTGGAAGCTTATGAGGTGCTCCCCAATAGGAAACGGGGATTCTCAGAAGCACCCCCTACTTCTGCAAGAGTGGGAGGGGAAAAGTGTGAACCCCTTCACCTGATAATTCCCTGAGATTTTGGGCCCATGTGTGATGAATGAACACGGAGGAGGTGGGCAGGTCCATGTTGTTGTCTTCCTCTTTCCTGTCGCTCCGTTCCTTAGTCATCATGACATTATCTTGGTGAGTGGTTTTCTTGTTGCTGATACTTTGCGGTTTGCTCTACGTGTTGCTAATGAGCGACACCCTCTATTCGGCACCCCTCCCCACACCAGAAAAAAACCCAACAGATTGTCACAATAACTTCTGCAGGAACATACCAAGAACTGTGCATGCAGCAGTCTTATGAAAACACACTCACACATGCAAGTGGAGATATATCACACAAAGAAAAGGGTACTAGGTGTTTCCTCTAGAGAATCTATAAAGTTCGTTGAGGGTTAGCGTTAGTATTTGGATTGTGAATGAAGGAAAAGGTAAATGTATTGAACATATGCCCTGGAATCATCGGAGAGATTCTTGTAAAACTTAAACACATCCATATACTCAAAAAAAGGCTTCTCAGGAGACTGACACTGAGATTTTCTGAGACCGAGATATAAATAACACTCCCCATGTTAAAGCATTTCCAACCATTCCAGGGTTGAATGCTCCTCTTTATGACTCAACACGAGCTGCTGGATGTTTCATGCTGCTTACCTTTTTTGGGATAAGATGTGGAGTGCAAATATGAAGGAAAGTTCTTTGCCTGGTTAATTAACCGAGTTGCAGAAGCAAATCCGCACTAAGTTCAAAAGGCGAATTCATACGTTCTGTATGACATGGAGCAAACCAAAAAAAAAAATGAAACCGTGCTCCTTCAGTCACAATCGGTTCCATGAACCTTGTTTTGTGTTATTTGTATTCTACACACCTGTGCCTGCTTATATGCTTACCAGAAACGTCCCAAGCAGCTGTTCTCTCTGGCTTTGATTTTTAGAATTAGTTTAGCGTGTGGTCGCTGGTATATTGATCTGTACAATGCTTTTGAAGTGTCCAGGATAACAAAGATGTTTTGACATAAGATGCATGGTGGAATTAAACGGCCAGCGCTCACCTGAGAATATCTGAGGTGGGTGGAGAGGAACAGCTGGATCTGTGCCACTGGGCTTGCAAGCCAGGATGTCTCCAAGACATTGTGGGCTTCATTCGAATGGCAATTGCAAGGACAGCATGTTCCCTGGTTTCTGCAATATAGCCGAACAGCTACGCCTTAAAAGCAAAATCCAGCAAGTACTGCAGTCAGCAGAGAAGGCCGTGAGCATTCACAGCTTAGGTTCTTGTGTAAACAGCTGTGTGCTGAAAAGGGAAAAGAAATTATTCTAAAATAGCTGCGTCGGTGGCAGATTCATTCAAAAATCAATTGCATCAAGTGCTTCAAAAGCAGTGAAAACGGTGCACATACTGTACCTATCCCACAGTAGAGTTAATCTTTAAGCAGAGTATGTAGTGGAACCCTATGGCCAGGGGTAATAATGTTAATGTAATAATAATAATAATGTTAATCATAAGAATGTTTCTTTATTAGCCCTGTACAATTTCTTGCATTAGGAATTCGTCTTTTTGCATACCACAGCTTTTCTCCATGGAGACACAGACACACAGACAGGGAGAGAAGCTTGGGTTCAGAGCGCAGGGTCTGCCATTTTACAGCGCCCCTGGAGCAGTTAGGGTTAAGGGCCTTGCTCAGGGGCCCAACGGAGTAGGATTCCTCTGCCGGCCACGGGATTTGAACCGGCAACCTTCCAGTCACAGGCGCGGATCCTGAGCCACAGAGCCACCGCTCCGCCCTCAGACTCGAGTCTGGAGTGTCTTACCTCTGGAGATCAATGGTTCATGTTCGGGCTGTGAATCTCATTGATTGTGCCTGGCAGTCTGCAGCCAGGAGCTCAGCCCTGGACTGAGCCCTGTAGGACCCGTCCAGTTCTCGGTTCTCTGGACTGGGAGAAGTTGTCGGTGCACTCCCAGCGTGTCCTGTTCTGGATGAGCTGCGCATGTTTTTAGTTGCTATTTGTCGGATCTGTCTGCCATCTCATTTGCAAATCCCAAGGTGCTTCAACCCTGTCAATCCGGTCAGCAGTAAACACAGCTCCTGTGTATCATGGCAGATGCTATAGAAAACGAACTGTACTCACACTGTTTAGTCCCCCTCCATAAGAAACAATTGAAATAAAGCTGGAATGAGAGAGTAGATGTGCCTGTGATGGACTCTTAAAGGAGCACTTCAAGCTTCGCTTCTGGCCCTCCTGCTGTGTGTCTTGCTGTAATGTGCGATGTTCTGTTTTATGATTGTTTCAGTTTTCAGTGTTGATTGATCGAAACTCTGGTGGCAAACACATTTCTTTTTATATTCTTTCTAAAGACACCACCATCCTTAATTGAAATTGACATTAAAGCAAACTTAATTACAGTTATGTTTATGCTACCAGGGCTCTCAAATTTATCAACACATCAGATAAACCTGTCAGTGATTGAGAGTATCTATTACGTTGTGCTTTTCTTATTGCCAGACTTGTATGGGTTCCCTAGTCTGTCTCTAAGGGCCCCCTGAAAACTTGCACCCTAGAAAATGTACCGTTAAACTGGCTGTTCAAGAAGAGATGTCTTGGACTTAGTCATCTGGAATTAAAAAAAAGGCAGAAAAAGGCCAATTCTGACGCACTGTGTTTTACACTGAAATCTGACCCTGTCGCATATCCTGTCTAATTTAGTGTGGAAATTTCTTCTGCGCAGGTAGTATTCGCTAACGTGGTCTGTAACAAATGACAAAAGGAAAAAAAAATGTTTGCAGATGAATAAGCAACGGTAAAGGAATTAAAGGGAAACTGTGAAATAGAGGGCAAACGGCTCCGTTAAAGTGGGCAACATTTTGATCCGCTGGCACATTTCAAAGAGAGCAGTGACGTATTTGTGGCGCAGAACTCCTAAGTCGTCTCCCGTGTACAAGCCAATCGCAGCGCCACTGTCCATTTGAAGTCAATTACATCACATTAAAAAGCTCTGATTGAATTGTATCTGAGCGTAATGAGCTTTCATAAGTGAGGCATGACTGCTGCAGCGTGTTCCATCCATGCAGCTGCTGGGACCATGAATCTGGCGTTCCCGGTCATTCCTGTTTTCTCCTGGCCTGTGGAAGAAGGGTGTATCATTAAGTCTCCATTCCCAGGAAGGACATGAATTATCGTTAACTTACGGCTCCGTTTCTTTGCTTGTTTTATTTTTTGTTTAAGCCGTTTAAAAACAAAACTGTGTTGAAATATGAATAAAATGCAAATCTGACTAGGGGAACCACCTATTGAGCAGACGTTTCAAGTTGTGGGTCATTTTAAATGTGCCGATGCTGAAGTGCTTATTCCCATCTTCGGTGTGTCTGTCTGGGTGGATAAGATTTTCAGTTGCCATTGATTTCATGACCCTGGCTGTTCCAACACAGATCATTTTCTTCTGTGCTGCCTGACATGCTGTAGCCTTTCTAAACGTGTGAGAGTCGAATCTCCTGACAAACCTGACATCTCATTTCAAAGGTGGAAATTTGAATCGAATGTCTAGATTTATTTAATCGTCAGCTTTACAGTGTACAGTAGTGCGCAAATTAAATCGAATAAATACCATTTGCTGGACTTTACGTTCCACAAAACATGTGTTGTTTAGATACAAACTAAACAAACAGAGAAAAAAAACAGCATTTGACAGGTTTTATTTTACTGGTTATTATTTTACTGAGTGTGACATTTTTAAACAATCAGCGTCTTTCCAGATTTACCCCAGAATTAACTAAAAATCGGTGACTCTCCGGCTGATCCGTTACCCCATCTAGAATTTCCTTATCAAAATGGAATGAACAGGAAATATTCCGAGTATTTTACCTTGGGATATGTGAACATTTTCTTTTTTGGTTTAAAATAATGGATTCTGTGGGTAATTAGTCACCTCTAGGTTTGCACTGAAATGTGTAACGGTTGAAAGAGGATTACTAGTTCAGGAGGTGTTTTACTTGTCAGGTCCTTTTCAACATTGATCATCATGCATTTGCAGCTGCTGTTGTTTCTGCTGACATTATTCACCTCCTTAACTCTCAGTGAAAAGATACCCCTTGCCTTAAGTCCCCTGGTAGGAAGAGTGTGTTATGTTGCACTATTTCAATCAATCAATCAATCAATCAATCAATCAATCAATCAATCAATCAATCAATCAATCAATCAATCAAAGTTTATCAAATGCACATCAATATAGCGCGCAGCAGTAGTTGCTGGCAATGAAATGTCTTTTCTATAAGCTCAACGGATGGGGGGGATAAAAGTCACAAAATTAGTTACAAAATAAAGTTACATAATGATAGATAATAGTGCAATAGAAATTGAATAGAATAAACTCAGACAAAACTCAATATAAATAGAACTGCTAGTGTGTCCAGGGTGTATGCAATAAATTATGTCCAAGTAGTGCAGGATGCCGAATACGATGAAAACTGTATGTCCATGTAGCCATTACGGGTGATTT